TGTTAAAATTTCCTGAGCCTTAGTGCTAATCAATGAATTGAACTGATAAAACAATGTTGCATACTCATCGGGAGTGTGTAAGATCCTTAAACAAGGCTTAACAGGGTTTACGGACCTTGCATTGCGAAGCCGGACACTCACATTTGTCACACACGAAACCTCTCTCAATCGTTTTCACTCTATCTCTTCTCATCAATAATCTCTCCCAAATCTCTCTAAGAATGTCAAATCTCTCCCAAATCTCTCTAAGAATGTCAAATATCTCCCAAATCTCTCTAAGAATGTCAAATCTCTCCCAAACCCGACCCCAGGAGGAACCGAACCCGAAGGTCCCCTCGGGGCCGAACCTCGCGCACCACCCGAACCCGAAGGTACTGTTCACTCGGCTCATTTCGGGTCTGACATGTTCGCCTCTTATCTCCGGACCGAACCTCTCGCCTTCGCCTCTCACTTCCGGTTCGCTCCCATCGCTTCCTCGCCCCTCTCGCTTCCTTGCCTCCCTTCGTTTACGGCTACAGTCCCCAGCAAGGACCGAACCTCGGCCTAGGACCGAGAGGACTCGCTGGGAATCCATTTTCTCCCGGTTTTCGCGTAGTTTTGCGTTTAAGGCCCGTTTTTAATTATTTTAACGCGGGATTTTCACCTAAAATTATATTTTAACATAATGAACCCTAAATATTCACAATTTAATCATATTTTCATGAAAATCTTTATTTAAATAATAAAATTTAGTGGGTAAACTACAAAGAGGCGGAGTGTTGACTTTGCTTTACCTTATGACACAAGCAACCACTCCCACACCCACTCTATGACCAGCCACACCTCCCCACCTTACCTAGGTCACTTCAATGTCCCTTACACTCAATTTCCACTCATTCCCACGTTTTTAGAGCTAGAACAAACATCCTCTCTCCTCATTTCTCTCATTTGCTCTCCTTTCACTAAGTATCAAACACCACTTTTTTCTCAAACTTTTTCTCCACCAAATTCGAGATTCAAGGCTGATTTTCAAGTGTTCTTCCACTCTTAGTAAATATAATTCATCCTCCTTATGATTAGTTCACTTCATTCTACTCAAATCATTGATTGCTTACACAAACTCCATAACTATGATGTTAGATTCTCGAAAATCTTCAAGGCATCTCCAAGTGTTCTTGAGTTAAACACTTCCATTCTTCAACAATCATCTACTGAAATCACTTAAGGTGAGTTCATAACCCTACATTTTCATGTTTTCTCAAGTTTTTAAGGGGGGGAATACAAGTTAAAACACCAAGAACATAACTAAATGTTTCTAACAGCCTTCATCAGAATAGTTCAACTCCATTCACGGACTTTTTTGGGCATCTTAAGCGTTTTTGTTTTCAAAACTGTACAAGGTGCAAATATGTCAAGTTCTTAGATTTAAAATGACTACTTGCATATCTCCATACGAGTTTTCTACAATTTATGGTGATTTTTACAAAACTGCCTATCATTTCAAACAACAATCCGGACCAGTCTGTGATTATGGACTTTTTCACCCAAGTTGGAGGTCATTAAAAATCGTGATAAAAATTATGAGTAAACTAGACACATTTTATGAACTCTCAGAATTTACGGATCTAGTTTTTGACTTCGTATGATTTTTCTATGATTTTTCCAAAACAGTGCAGAATGGATAAAGTTAGCCAACAGCATGTAAATATCATAACACTTTGTATTATGTTGAGCAAAGTGTATAATCATAAGTTCTAATTATTAAATATGTTTCTTTGTTAGTTTATTATCATGAATTGAAACTAAGTCATTCATAGTAAATATTATTCATTCATTTTAGAACACGTATATTAAACTATAAAAAGTATAGTTTAATAAATTCATAACACTAATACATTTCCATAAAAGAGTTCTTACATATTACAAACGTTTTAGATAAACTATAATAGGTATAGTTTATGATATATTGCATAACACACTCGTACTAAAATAGTACATTCATACAGAAAATGTTTACACTCACACACATTATACGTAAACTTGTTACCCTAAATTGTGAGACATTCTCTCTTTCCGTACGTCCGAGTGCGAAATATAATTCCTGGTAGTTATAATCAGAGTCTCCTGGAGGGAGAACGTGATACTTGTATATAGATCTATATTGGGTTTGACACCCCACACCTTGCTGCTAGCTACAGTGGGACCTGCAGGTCTACGGGTGACAAATGTCATTTCATTTTCGCGACGCCTGAGAAACGTCGTGGCAGGTTCACATACTCATAGTATGATTATAGCGACTCACATAGGGAGATAACAATTCATAAAGTTTACGGGATTTCATAAAACCTAAGTAGGTTTTAGGTTGATTTAAAATTCACTTTTTATATCAATTCAAACTCATGACATTTCTACTAAGTAAGAATGATTTCTTATATATTTTGGTCTTTGGTCATAAGGCTACATTATACGGATTCTAAGGAAAATATCGGATTTTTCTGAAACAAACGCAACATTTACATGAGAAAGACTTCTATTAAGTTTTATAGCAAAAACTTATGAACTCACTAACCTTTGTGTTGACACTTTTCAAACAACTTGTATTCTCAGGAAATCACTAAACAGGTAATCAAGTGCTTTTGAGGATGGGGCGTTAAGGCGTCAAACTTTTCATATTTTGTCAACATATTGTATTTGATTTTAAAACATGTAATTCATACAAGTGATGTAACTTTTTCAATTATATATATGTTGGTTTTGTTTACTTAAATTACTATTGAAATTGTGCTTATGATACTATACATGAAGTCCTCCACCCCCGGACGTTTCCGCCATCCTTGGTTTGGGGGTGTGACAATAATATATTATCATCTCATAGTTACTCGTGATAAAATACATGAAGTCATTCTCCGAGGGTGGGTTTATCCAATACTCAAAATCCCCATTTCCAAGTACCCATGAACATTGCAACAAAAATATTACTATGTCAAAACCCTTAGACAATCTACAATTCAATTCATTACAATTTTAATTAGCTACTTACTTCCAAAAGTACAAGAGATTGTGGATGTTTGAATAATCTAATTATTCGGGAAGTAAAACATGCGAAGTGAAATACAATAATAACATAACTAACTATGGTCTAAAAAATATTTAATATAAATAAAACCCTTATTATTTGATCACCATATTAATTAGACTTTATTCATTGTATACAAAACACTTAAATTAAACAATAGTCATGCCATGTTATAAACATGCATACTATGTCTCTCTATGGTCCTTCCTTTGTGAACATATTAATCAAACACTATTCTAATGATGGTCATTTCAGAATTTCAAATTCTTGCTACTACTAAATGTCTTAGAGTTCACTCTTGCATGCAATATCGTTTTGTGATGTCGAGGATTCAAAGTCATAGAGACTTTGCCAACGATATTACAAGATGTTCCATTGAAACTTTGTTTCTTTAAACAATTCCATGGTAACGAAGTCTCAAATTCAAGATATACTCCTTGAATATCTTCCTTGCATTAAAGTTCCCAACTCACATATAGATTTTATCATAAACTTCCACTATGGAAATATTTCCATATTCCCATATGACTGTTAATTTTGAACAAGAGTTACCTCTATTCAGAAATATGTCAATGTGGTCTGTCCAAATTAATAATATACCTCCAACTATCAACAAGCAACCAATCTTCAGTAAAATTCATTGTGTTCTTGATAGTTGTTTAATAACTTTATTCACACTAAGTTCTAGTCCTTTTTCCTTCTCAATACGCAAGGCATTTGGAAAAATCAAAACAAGTGAATATTATAGCATATGTAAACGTTCCTATATACGAAGCATATGGGAATCAATTCATAATCTCTTACATAGAGACTTGATATCTATTCAGTCTCTTGCTATATTATTTCCATATATCGAATTTCATATGTTGAATCATTTCAACACAATATTCATATATATCCAAGACTAAGTTCTATTAAGACTTCAATCTAAAATTTTATATTTGAAATGAAATATGAGTGCCCTCTCCCCTAAATCTTTATGTAGCGAAACAATTCCCAAACTTTGCAATTTGCAAATTTGTAAACTTTGTTTCCTACAAATAGCATTACCAACTTGCAACACTTAGCATAACAATTATGCTCCTACTTGCATAACAATTATACTCCCACTAACTTTGATATGTACCCAGAAATCAATTGGACTTCTAGACACTACAAGAAAAATACCCTTTAATGACATGCGAACAACGACACACATTGATTTACGACACACATTTTTTGTGTGTCCTTAAAGTAATGATAGCCTTCCAAATTTTGAAGGATAGAGGACACGTATTTGTGCGTGCCCTAAAATTATTGTCCCACAAAACAAAAATTACAAACACTGAGGGAGCTTATTTTAAATGTGCATCCTCTGTGAATGTCGCTTTATAATTTTTTACTCAAAACGCGCGTTTTGAAATTAAATCCTATAAAACTCTAATTTTGAAATACCCCTCTTTAAGACATTCCTTCACTCTCTTCTTCCTTTCTCTCTACACAGCGTAATCACGATACCATCTCCTCTTCAAGGCATGTACATGACCTTATATTTCTCCACCACCTTCAACATGCTCTTGAAATCAAATCTTTCCATGAGAACCAACATCTCGCCAACCAACGCCGGCTAATCAGCATAAAGAATCTAAAAATGTGAAATTAAAGGGACGAATCTATGGCTTTTTTCAAGAACACACACTTATTGTTATCTTTGTCTTTATTTCTCTCTCTCTCTCTCTTTGTCTCTCTCTCTCCCTCTCTCTCTCACACACACAAACACAAAATTTAAGGGACGATTCTAGGGCTTTTTTAAGAACCATTTAAAACATAAAATAGTTTGGCGATGTCTGATCACCTCACTTCATCATCGATTGCGACTCCTTGAAGATTTAGGGTTGTGCTCGGTGTTATGCTTGGTGATTCAGCTTGATGGTAAGCATGTGCAACTATTGGACAAAATGGTCTCATGACACTTTATGATATACTCTTCAGTCAGCTGGATGTCATATCAGCTCAGTTTATTGTCATTGATAATGACTTCAGGAGTCCAAAATTTAGGAAACAACTCACTAAAACATTTGATTCTTTATTGTCTAATAAAGTGATTCATGTATTTAATAAAAATGATTTCGTTAGTACTCGTCGTGCTCTATATGATGCATGTTTCTTTATTATAATATTAGCTTCTCATTTATAACCATTTCAATTGTATTTTCATAATACACATTTTTACATTTATTGAAGGATTCTTCTAGTATTTTCTGGGGTAATGACAGTCTGGCAACTCTGGTAGCTTTGGAGTTAAAATTTGATCTTTTAGTGTTGTTGAGTGATGTGGATGGTATTTACAGTGACCCACCAAGTAACCCTCAGTCAAAGCTAATTCATACATACATTAAGGAGAAGCTTGAGAATACAATTACTTTTGGTGATATGTCAAGGCTAAGAAGAGGTGGAATGACTGCTATAGTCAAAGTTGTTGTTTATGCTTCACAAGTTGGGATCCCTGTCATTATAACAAGTGGTTTTGCGAGGGAACATATTGTCAGAAAACTTCAAGGACATCTTATTGGTACACTCTTTCATCAGGATGCTCATACATGGGTGTCAAATGGGGAGTTAAAAAATGCACGTGACATGGCAATAGCAGTAAGAAAAAGTTCTAGACATCCTCAGGTATGTTTTAATTGGTTTATTATAATCATGTTTATAAATAGAAGTTTTGATTTATTGATATATTTTAATGAATTGAACTCCATGTCTGTGAAAGGAAGAAGTAAGATATTACTTGATATAGTTGATGCTCTTGAAGCAAATTGGAAAGTGATTTTACATGAAAATGGAGCTGATTTTTATGTTGATTACGATGCTGGATATGAAACATCCTTAGTTTCTCGGTTAGCTCTAAATCCTGGGAAGGTGAATCATAAATTTATAAATAAAATTAGAGAAATTTGTTTATGTAAATCTCATTTCATTATTATATTTTTATAGGTTTCTAGTCTTGTAAAAGCCATACGTGTGCTTGCAAATATGGAAGAGCCTATTCGACAAGTATTAAATAGAAAAAAGGTTATGTCCATACTATAATATACAATCATGATTTATGAAATAAAATAATCTTGTATTCGTTTAATGAAGCTTTCAAATGGATTCATCTTATATAAGATATCCTCTCCTTTGGGTGGGCTTCTTGTTATGTTTGAGTCTCACCCCGAGGCTCTAGTATAGGTATAATAATATATCAGTTGAGGCTGCTATAATGATGTCTGGATATGTATGTGTCTTAATTGCAACTATATTTTTGTTCACCTAGTTTTATTCAAGTCTAGATATGTATGTCTGGATATGCATGATCTCTTGTTTAATTCCTATTATGACATCCTTCTGCTAGTCTTTTCTTGGCTATTTTCCTTGAGCTTGCATCTGTAAAAAGGTTGTATTATACTTGGATTGCTATAGGGATGCCTTGTGTTTCTTTCCTTGTTGAACTTGATACTGGAAGTGATCTTCTATGAATTCCAAGTGATTTTGTGCATTGTGCTCCACTTTCAGTAAGATACAATGGTAGTCAGTAAACGACAAAACATTTGAGTAATAGTGAAGAAATTGTATTCTGTTCTTTACATTGATTGTTCTTGTTGTGTTTTACTCATTAGATTAAGTGAGTTCATAATGGAATGTGATTGATTTCAGGGTGAGGAACGGTATTAGAAGTAATCTTGGAGATGTTAAGTTGGAAACAGTTCCATGTGGAGTTGGAAATGCTATTGGTAATAAGGTAAATGCTTTTCAAAATTTTAATTTACTTTTACTTATGTAATAATAAAAACTTATAAATTTACTGGTGTCAATAGGGAGGAGTTGGATTGACGATGAGAATCTATAGGTGGATTATATGTTTTGTGAACTGTCACTTTGCTGCACATCTGGATGTTGTTAATAGGCGTAATGCAGATTTTGATCATGTATACAAAACAATGTCATTCAGTCGTCCATCAAATCTTCTGAATTCATCAATTGGTATGATTGTGATGTCAGAAATTTTCTTATTTTTCTTACTTGCCACCTCATCTTATTCACTCTTGATTCTCTATGGTTCTCTCTTCCTACCTGCTTTACTTTTTGCAGCTAGAGTCACTTCTATGGTTCGTATTGAAAATGTAGGTACAGTCTCTACCCATTTGACCCGTTGGAAATAAAACTTATCCAAAAATGACTAGTTTTCCCCTTCTATTTTTTCAGGCTATGAGTAGCCTGTCTGTGGATGAGTCGCCAGAGCTATTTGAAGCCACATGGTTGTCTTTTTAGGCGACTTTAATTATCGGCTTCATGATATATATCTTAGAGAAGCTTTGATTATATTAGAGAGAAAGATCAATTACATATGGAAAGGAAAGCCGAAAGTGTTTTTCAAGGAATGTGTGAAGTTGTTATCACATTTCCACCTACATACAAATTTGAAAGACATCAACACGGTTAGCAAGTATATATATATATATATATATATATATATATATATATATATATATATATATATATATAAAAGAGGGTTCAGTTGAGAAAAAAAAAGGTTGAGAATGGGGGAATCATTCTCAACCATTCATTTATTTTTGCCGCAAAAGCCTTCGTCGTACCAGCGGAAATAGTAAAGGAATAGACATGTGCTTTCCAACAAAACATGTTTCCTTAAATTATGCTAAGCATTACCTTAATATATACAAAAACATAGTTTTTTCGTTTTTTATTTTATTTTTAAGAAGCTATTTTTATCAAAAAATGATTTTAAATATACCAAAATTCATGATTTTTTATTCTCTACAAATAGACATCCATATTGATATAGTTTTAAGATAAAATATTTTTTTTTTTATATTTTCAGCTATCGTTATTCATAAGTGAATAAAAATGACTCAGAATTTTACTACAGTATATTCGTTATTCACTTATGAATAAAAACTATGATTAATTTTTTTCACAATTTAAGTATCATTTATATATGAATATAGCATATACTAAACATAATATATTCATATTTTTAGTATCAGGCGATTCATTCACTTGTGAATATTACATAGTATATTCACTTGTAAATATTATATGATATATTCACTTATGAATATTATATAATATTTTCATATCTGAATATTACATAGTATTACATAATATATCACATATGAATATTACATAGTATATTCACTTGTGAATATTATATGATATATTCACTTATGAATATTACATAGCATATTCACATATGAATATTACAATGTGTTTTCACAAATATATATAATTTTTATATGTTATTCACATATGAATAACATACAAACTTGCATATTCGTTTTTTTTTTTTTGTTTGTTTTAATAATCATATACTGATTTAGGTGAGAAAGCATATTCATATATAAATATAACGTGGTAATTTAATTTATGCATTTCATCAAACACTTGGAGTGCATACAATTTAACTTTTTTTAAAATGTTAAAAACCTTTTACTTTGACTATTTAAATCTTATAACATAGTAGATAGCTAGAGAATTATATGAATTTAAAAAAAAAAAAAAAAAAAAAAAACGATTTGATTTTTTTCTAACCTCAATTTTGAAGTTTTATTTGAGAATTGATGTTGAATGAATGATATGAAGTGGATTTTTTGTTGATTATCAATGATGTTGATCTAATAACGCTGGAAGTATAATTAATCGTAGATGTTAAAGATCTGATCATATTCAAATAGATTTAAAGCTTGGATTAAAAGAACGAAAAAACGAATTTTTGTTGTTAACTGTTGAATCGTGTTGATAAACATGTTATTGACGAAGATCAATGATTGATTAACATCGGATGGTGTTGATGATGGTTTAACTGAAGAAATCTGGATGATTGTTGAAGGTTGAAGGAGAAATCTGGATGGTGAACGATCAAAATTTCTGTACAGTAACGTATTTAAGGTTGAAGGTTATTATCATATTTACAAGTTTGTCACCGTGTATTTTTATGCTTAAATTAAATGAGTGGCTGAGAATGATTCCTCCATTCTCAACATTTTTTATTTTCTTAATTGAACCCACCTCCCCTCTCTCTCTCTCTCTCTCTCTCTCTCTCTATATATATATATATATATATATATATATATATATATATATATATATATAATACACAACCTTTTTCATTATCATATATAGTAATGAAATTGTTTTGAAAATGGGTCTAAGTTTTTTATTTTTTATAGGTTATAATTCGGGGAAAAAAACGTATTCCCTCATGGTGCGATTGAATCCCGTATCATGACAACCATCCAGGTTCATCATCCACATGCAATCAAAATTGTCCTGTAGTTTCTTCAGTTTTACAATAAGTTTTTACTTAATCATGATTACTATAAATGTAATGATTATATATATATATATATATATATATATATATAGGGTTAGGTTATTTTGTTTCCTACATCTATTGTGTGCCCGTATGCACAATGATGTACTAATACATGAATAAAATCAATGGTCATGGTTTGAAGGTCTATGATATTACAATAGGGTAACATGTATCATATAATCACTCAAATTGAATTAAATTGGTATTTTAGACAATTAACTATATTTAAAAAAGGAAATTTTCGAAATTAAAGCGATAATTCTTTTTTTTTAATTATTTCAGTTTCAGTTCTAATTTAATTTGTAATGATAACCGATTATAACTTATTTTATTCTGTCAGAATGCAATTCTATTAGAATGAAATTTTGTTATAATGACAATTCTGTTAGAATAACAATTTATGACATCCTTTAAGAATACATAAATAAAAAGAAAACATAAATAAGTAGATTATGAAACAATATAAAAAATCGATTCTTGAACTAATAATATATCAAATAATTATATTCTATGATTATGATACAAAAAGAACAATCTTGAATAATAACAACATTATAAAAGAATAACAAGTGTAATTCTTAAAAAAAAACAACAACATTCTTAAACTGTGAGTATGATCAATCTTCGATTGATTCTTCTCGTCATTCCTATAAGGTCTTCAAGTCATTCCTATCACAAATGCAACAAAAACATCAGAATCCAACCAAAAACACTAATTCATTCTGAAAGAATAATGGTGCTAAGATTCATTTTATACATTTTGGCGGAATACATTCTACTATAAAACACTCTTGTTCTCCATATTTTCTTTCTTTTCCACATGAATGACAAACTCTTCAAAACCTAAAAAAAACAAAAAAAATCATTAAAATCTAACAAAAACACTAATCTATTCTAAAATAATATTATTGATCATATTTGTTTTGTAAATTTTGGCAGAATACAAACATTCTAAAAGAATAAATTTATATAAATAAATTCTGACAGAATACACACAATTCCATTCACACCTCATACTCAACTTTCACATCATAATAGACTAATTTCTTCTAAAAAAACAACACCAATTGGGTTTTTTTATACATTGTAAGAGAGAATAAGTAAAAAAACAAACATTAATGGTATCCTAGTGAAAATTACAAGTTTAATAATGCATAGATTCTTCAAAATCTTGATATATATTTTGGTAGAGTACAAAGAATATGGCAGAATACATGGGTGTGTTAGCAATATTTGCTTGGAAAGTTCATCCTTACCATAGACACAATTGGTCAAATATTTCACAATCACGTTGATTGAAAAAATTACTAGAAAGTATGTTTTAAATATGGAATTAGTCAATTACCGAGAATTTGGCTTGAAACATCTCTTATGCTTTCTAACTATTGTAATTGAGAGATGAGATGATAAACTTTTCTGGTCACTGGTGCCATTGGATGTCTCCATTGAAAAAAGGACAATTGAGGTTCGATTTCCTGCAGAACAGGGAGCTGTTATGTGCCCATTCTCACACTACAACTAAAAAACATGTTATGATTAGTACAAGAGCATAGCAATATTCAGATATTCAAATTCGAAGAAGGGAAGTATTAAATACCTGGTAGATTGGGGCGCACAATCGAGCAACTGCATTAGGGCCATGATAGATTCTTTTTCAAGATGACTGGCCACTCAACGCAGTCAAACAGGAGATCTAAATCCGGGACCTTTCCGTTAGCATCTAGCAAGCATGTGGAAAGCAAGAGGCTGACGAACATGAAGATGAGGAAGAAGAGTAGTCAAACAGAGGATATAAAGGTTCTTGTCATGATGGTGGATAAAAGGTCGACTTTTACTGATGATTATAGCAGATATGGCTATATCTACTTAATCAAGCATAAGTCAGAAACCTTTGAAAAGTTGAAAGATTTTAAACAAGAAGTGGAGAATCAACTGGGCATGAAGATAAAGATGCTGCAATCCGATCGAGGTGGTGAGTATCTTAGTATCGCTTTCCACGACTATCTTAAGTAATGTGGAATTGTTTCACAATTGACGACACCTAGGACACCATATCTTAACGGTGTAGCTGAGAGGCGCAATCGAACCTTGTTGGACATGGTTCGTTCCATGATGAGTCGAGCTTCATTACCTATCTCATCTGGGGTATGCCTTAGAGACTTCCGCCTATATCCTTAATCTAGTCCCAACCAAAAAAGTTTCCAAAAAACCTCACGAGATGTGGATAGGGAAGGTTCCCTCATTAGCACACATCAAGGTTTGGGGTTGTGAGGCCTTCATGAGGCGTGAGACTCACGACAAGCTTAATTTTTGAAGTGAGCATTGTATTTTCATCGGCAACCCATAGAAGTCTTTTGGATAGTTCTTCTACATACCAAGTGACAACCTTGTCTTCATTGCGAGGAGAGGGGTTTTTCCAGAGAGAGAGAGAGAGAGAGAGAGAGAGAAAGAGAGAGAACTCATATGCCAAGAGGACAGTGGGAGGAAAATTGACCTTGAAGAGCTTCAAGAGTTAAGTGGTAATGGAACCTCAAACACTAGCGCTCAAACTAAGGAGGAAACTCCTTTTAAACCAGTTGACAAGTCCTTACCTCTGATACCTTCCGGTAGAGTTAGTGTTTCAACATGTGTTGGGTTTTGAGCAATCTAACACTTCCTAAGTGTGCATGTAACCCTAATAAACCTTGGATCTATGTTTGTCTAAATACATGCAAAATAATAATTTTTCCAAGGTTCATAACCTATCTAACATGGTATGGGGTACTTTTAAACATAAAAGAATTAGATGAGATTACATACCTTTTGATGATGAGTTTGATTCCTAAGGAGTTTGAGGGCCAAGCACCAATAGTGTGAATGCCTCAAATGGAATCACAAATCACCACAAACTCTTGGAAAACTTTGAGAGAGTGTATACACACTATAAAATCGGTCA